AAAAAAAGAAAGAAAGAAAGAAAGAAAGAAAGAAAGAAAGAAAGAAAGAAAGAAAGAAAGAAAGAAAGAGAAAAGAAAATCATCCACTCAGCAATAGTGGCCCTTTCAAATTAACAGCAGGGTGGGGGCAGGGGGAGGGAAGGAGAGGGAGAGAGGGCCTGGCAGGGGAGGGGTGTCTCTTGTCGTTCAAGTCAGGGCGGCCACAAATGTCCCGAATCTGTTGGAGATGTCGGAGTGCAGGGACCGCCAGGTGGGCACGGAGGCGCGGGCCTTGGCCTCACCCACGTCATCGGTGCAGTGGACGGACAGGCACTGCAAGTGGCTGCCGGGCTGGGGGGCCGAGGCCTTGCTTGCCGGGAGGTCGTGGGCTGCAGAGAAAGAAGGAAGAGAAGAATTAGTGGCAGGCTGGGCTCTGGGCGGCCTTGGTGAGGCCAGGCCAGCAGAGGACGGGAACGGAGGCGGCACCATGCCCTCTTTTCATGGCTACGCGGATGGTCAGGCAAGGCTCTAGAGATGTTTGGCTGGGAGGCCGCTGGTCACCTCTGGCTTGGCTGAGGGGCCTCAGGCAAGGGAATCCTCTCTCGCCCACTGGGTCGCAGTTTCCCTCTTGGAAAGTAGGAGAGTTGGGTAGGATAGATGGATTCAGTCATTTCTGATGGTCTAGCATTCCCAAAAGATTGACTGGACATGAGGTAACTTAGGAAGGTTTCCTGGAGGAGGGGCATCTAAATTGGGCCTCAAAGGGTATGTAGGAGTTCACCAGATGCAGTGAAAGCGTGAAGGAGAGGACTGTCCGTGTCTAAAACACAGCTCATTTTCTCGTCATCCTCCGGACAGATGTCTGCTGAGGGCCACCATGTCCTGGGAATTTCCTTCGACACTGCCAAGCTGCTCCTCTGTAGCTAAGAGAACACTGAGAGCCAGGAGGGAAAACGAGCTGCCCTAGGGCACAGGAGAAAACGGGCGGCACTGTCCCGGGGGAGCAGGCAGATGGGGGCACCCAGAGCAACACAGGGAGGGGCAAGCAGGGATCCGATGCCTGTGCTTCCCCACTCTCCTGTCCCTCCTGTCCCTGCCCCCTCTGCCCCCCAAGGAGAGGTGTCTGGAGGGTGCAGGGGAAGGGAGGAGCCCTGGGGCACTGCTTGCGGCTCTCATTCCCTCTAGAAATGGGGACGTCTGCCAGGCACACAGCGTCCTGTCACGTGCCCAGTCAGCAAGGCCCCTCCTGTGCAAAAGGCGTCTCACAGCACGGAGTGCGGTGCTCCGGGCAGTAAAGACCGAGGCCAAGCTCCCTACAGAGCAGCACCAAGCCCCAGTCCCCGCTGCTGCACGAGAGGTACTGAGGACCGGGCCAGACAAGCACCAGAAGTGGGAGTTACGGCTAAGAAGGGAAAGAAGCAGTCATTTGGAAGGACCCCCTGCCGAGCGACCACCAGCTATTTTATTATTCCCCTTTCTCAGAAAGGGCAAGTAACCCATCCAAGTTCACGCTGGTTCACATGGTTTAGATATAGGCTGGTGGTGCTTTGCTGCCTCATTGGAAATGAAATTGGTGCAGGGATCGAGCTTCCACACCCCAACACTAAATTCCACTGCCCACCTGCCCAGAACACAGTGAGCCCAGCAGCTCTTCCCACCCTCGCCCTCCAGGGAGCCCCTCTTCCTCCCCTCATCCATTCATTCGTAAGCCCTTAGAGTGGGCCTACAATAGGCCAGGCATGGCCTGGAGTGGTGATGCCAGCGGGCAGGGTCACTTTGGGGCCAGAGCAGAGTCACAGGTCCCAGGCTGTGTGACCCTCCCTGAACCTCAGTTGCCTGCTGGGTAGGGTGGAGCCGTCCACAGCCTGGATTGGGAGGCCTCATCCCAGGATCTGGATGGTCTGGGGGCCAGGGATCCTTGCAGCCACATCGAGGCCCCCAGAGGCCCCCTTTCTAGGCCCTGGGGGGGCACTTCCTGCCCATGACACTGGCATTTCCGCCCACTTTCACAGACAGGGAACCTGAGGCCCCGATCCCAGGGTGGCAGACCTGGTTGGTAGTGATGAAACCACAGTCAGGGACTCCCAGGAGCAGGGACCTTGGAAGGTGGAGGCACTGGGTGCAGGGTTGCCCAGCACCCAGCAAGCCCCGGATTGCAGCAGTCCCAGCGAGCAGCCCCCACACCTGCGCATCTAAGCCCACACTTGTCTGGCTCCCAGCAGCACCTGGCTGCTGAAAGCAGCAAAAAGAGTTTTATCCCAAGCACTGCAAAATCTAGTTCAGGGCTGGGGATAGCATCTACCAGAGAGAGTTTTGGAAAGCGGGTTCTCGCCTTTGCCTCACACACATCACCTCAGGAAACACACAGATAGCAATGCCTGTGCCCACGCTGAGGAAACAGGGGCCCAGCAGGCAGGAGCCCTTTGCAGAAGCCTGGAAAAGACCAGGTCTGAGCTCCTGCGCCCGGGTTCCTTTGCTCTGTGGCTGCAAACACCCGGAAGGTGAAAGGGGCTGGAATTTCCTGAACACACTTCCAGGACAAAGGAGGCTGGGCAGCCAGGTTAGCTCAGTGATGCTTACAGATTGACCCCAAGGGTCAAATGGCCCAGAGCTGTTCCCCCCCCCCCGCCCACTGAGTCACAGCCCCCTGCTAAACAAGATGCACCCCAGTCCCAGACACAGTGCTCCTCTGACTCAGCTGGATTGCAAGAGGTCGTGCCAGGCACGCAACAGAACATCTCTGCGTGTGATCTAACTCCATGCCCAGCAAGCCCGGCACCCTGGTGACCCTTCTCCCCGCTTCGGCAGGAGCACCTAGGGCCCAGAGAGAATGCAGCCACCTCTGGTATCCACAGGGAATATTTTGAAGACAGAACATTTTGTTTCGATCCTTGACAACCAAGCATGACTGAACTCATCCCCTCATCCGATTCATTCCAACCGGGGGACCCAGCAGGCCCTGGGATGGTGGCTTCCCCAGGCTGCAGGGCCGCTGCTGATAAATCAAGCCTATGGAAGCTGCCGCAAGCCCCAACCTGTACCAGCCAGGAAGACGCTATCTGTCCCTAGGCCTCAGGGCATTGGCATGCCAGAGCCCCCACTCCAGCACCCAGAGACAACACCACCCACTCACCAAGCCGGGGGGTTAGGGCCCTGGTGTTACTCAGGGCCAGCAGACACCTCGGGTGCATGGCCTTCCCTCGGGGGTTGCCGGCCTCTGCCAGGCTACGGTTGCAGAGTCACAGGTGGGCTGGTATACAGCAGGTGCTCAGCAGAGCACGCACTGACTACAATGTGACTCCCATCCCCATTTAACAGGTGGGGAAACTGAGGCCCCAGGGCCAGGTTGGCTCCCTCCTTTCAGCCCAGGATTCCCAGCTGGTCAGTCCCAGGTCGGTTCCTGGATGGCCCAGGCCTGTGCAGCAGGCTTCTGTCTTACAGCCTCAGTCTCCTCATCTATAACTTGCAGGTCAGTTTTAGGAGACAGGGATTCCTGACAGGCCTTGCTCAGAGCAGCTTGGGGGCACATGAAAGAGAAAGAGCTACTAGGTTCAATGACCTGAGATCCCAGCTATGGGGCAGGGTGAGGGTGGGGGGCTGAGGCAGAAAGATCGCAAGTTTGAGGCCACCATATGTGTGGGGTCAGTCCCAGAGCATACCCTGGTCTCAAATATATAACACCTCACTTGACTCGGCCACACAGGGGCCTGAGAGGAAGGGCCTGCTGCGGTTCCTGGAGAGCAGGTGTGTGTATGGCTGCGCAGCACGGAGGACTGCTGGACAGTTTTAAAGCCATCTGTTGCCCAGCACTGGCCACTTGATGTCCCACAGCCCTGACCAAGGGCCAGGACCAGACACCCTTTCTGTTCTCCCGAAGACCCTCCCCAGTTTTTCCCGCATCCATCACCGGGGGACATCACACCGCCACCCCCTTCTGTAACGCCATAGCTTTCGGCGGGGTCATTTTTGCCAGCCAACTTCAAATCACGCCATCAAGGTCAGAGCCCCCTCCTGTTTCCCCTCTGCTACCGAAAGAGCTGCAGCAGATTGTGTCCCACGCACCTGTCAGTCCACACGAGGACAGAGGACTCCACTGCAGGGAAGACAGAACAGGGCGCACGTGCCCGAAGCACAGCCGCACGGGTACGTGCAGTCGCTCTTACATGGTCCAGCCAAGGGGGCGGCTGCCATCAGCAAGGTGAGGGACTTCTGTGCACACAGCTGCAGTGCTCAGAACCTGAGTTCCAGGGAAATAATGGGATGGCGGTGGAGGAGGCCATGGGAGGATAAGGGGACGGACGCGGACGCGTGTGGCGCTCGGGTCATGTGGTGCACTCCCACCCACGCTGGCCACGGAGCAGGACTGGAAGAGGGCACAGTGTACCTGGGACTGACCCAAGTGGGAACGTGGGAACAGGAAGCAACCTGCCTCCTGGCTGCTTAAAGGAAACCCTGGGAAAGGTCCGAGGCTCTGACACTCACAGCTCCCGGACAGGGAGCAAACATGGAGTCAGAACCACCAAATGCCAGCTCCAAGCCATGGGGCAGTTTCCCTGGCTGTGTGTGGGGGGGGCTCCCCTGGAGCAGAGCAGGTGAGTGAGAACTCCCAGAGTATTTTTAACCCGGAGCTTATGTAAGAGGCAGTGTGGGCCCCAGAACACAGTAGAGGCGCTCTCTCTGGCTCCCCTGCCGCAGCCCCGCAGAGGCAGATGTATTGCGGCTTCTGCTGCACTTGGGCTCAGGAGGGGTGAGGGGAGAGATGCTGGTTTCTGCGCTGCCACTCTGCGGGGGGCTGGGCTGCTGGGCCTGTCGCTGAGGCAGGCTGGGCAGCCACAGGGCTGGGCCCCCTCCTCTGGGGCCTTCATCCTGCAGCCACAGATTCCTGGAACTCCCTAGACACACAGGCACGCCCGTGACCCCCAACCTTGAAGGTCCCGCTGCCTGTCTACAAGACGGGATGGACCAGTCCCACCCACGCCAGGCCTGGGCATCCTGACGGGCTGATCACTCGTCCCCATGCCCCAGAGTCACCCCAAGTACCAGCAAGGGAAGAAGTTGCCTCCACAGTCCACCTGCTTTCTCCTGCCCCATTACCCCACCTTGGTCCAGGTCCCCACTGACCACTGCCTAATGCTTCCATTTTCCTCTGTGAGCTGGGAGAGCGTCCCAAAGCACCAACCAGAGTGGACCTCTCTGTGGCTTAAACCTTCCATGGCTTTAGCCTGCCCCCAGGATAAAGTCCCCAGCTTTGCAGGGCCTCCTCTTCCACCTCCGCCGTGGGGCGCTGGCCTCAGTTCCCAGTTTCTTTCCCATTCTTGGTGTCCCAGCTGTGCAGTCTTTCAACAAAGCCCTGACCCTTACCACCTCTACATGTTCATTTTTGCTGTTT